AGTCCAGGTATTAACCTCCCTCAGTTCACCACTGGGGTGACCGCTCGATTCTGATGTCTCTACTCGGGATAGAGTTGCTTGACGGCTTTCTTTTGCCTTTTATTTTTTGAAACGTACAGTTACATTTTCTGCTTTTACAAAGGGTTGTAACGTTGTAAAATGAAATGCTGGCGCCTGTGTTTACGTTTTTGTCCCATAGGGTTTCGTGAGTCTGTTTTTAGATTACTAGCATAACAACGATTACACTGCGAGTATTATATGGGCAACAATTTTGGAGTTGGTAGAAATAATCCGGAAATGTTTATCAGAAATGTACGATTCAACATTTCACCCAGGTAAGTTATTGTAAAAAAGAGGGATTAAAAAAAAAATCAAACGTATTATGAAATCAACAGCAAGGTTTGAAGTTTCTGTATACATATGTAACGTTATATTTTTTCCTGGTGATGTGTATAACATTGTATCTCCTTTTTCTACCTTCCATACGAAGAAAAGTCATCTTTTGGACTAAATCTTTCAATTGTTTTGAATTTCATTATTAAAACTGACTATAGTTATACATAACAAAGAAAGCAACCAATTCATTTAGGAACAAGACTTTCAATCAGCTAACTTCTAAATGAAAATAAAATTTCATTGCTCTTCTTTGAATTATAAATATTCATATATATATATTTCACATTTTTATTTGGTTGGTAGCATTAAGTTTTTCTTCATTGAAGGCTTGATATTGTACCAAGGATTTTTTAACCCCCTTGATTGTACAATCATTGATACTTTACTTTATTGGTCAAAATTAAAAAGAAACACACAAGAAGTTTGCAATAAACAGTTGGCTTCAGTTATCAATATGAATATGACGTCTTTGGATCCACTTCCATTTTTCGTCAATTTACGAAGTTTTGATTAGGTAGTCATGCCACAATTGCATTCCAAAATTCAAATAAACATGGAACATTTCATCATAGTCAATGGAACAAAGTCAAAATTAATTTTCAAAATCAAATTGGTATGAAAAATGTATAATGTGTATACAAAACTCATTTCCTGAAAGCTCAATTTCATTTATTATTGATAATAAAGTAGAAACATAAGATTCATGAAAATATAATTGAAAAGCATATCATAGTTAAAAAGACCAATTGAAAAGAACTACCAGTACATGTATATGGGATCTTTGCAATAAAAAACATCATTCAGGCATTCAGACCTCTTGTGTCCACTTTCAAATTCCTTATGTACAAGTAATTACTATGTGGATTTCAATTTTTACTTTATTTCTCTTTTATTCGGTCCATCTTTTCCTATGACCAATCTGTGAATTCATAAATTTTTGGGTTATTTCTCTTTTATTCAGTCCACCTTTTTCTGTGACCAATCTGTAAATTCATAAATTCTCTGGGTGGTTTTATTTTATTTCGACCTCTCCGCAAAACCATTTTTTAGCTACCATGGTCTCTCTCGTATGCTCCGAAGAGACTCGGCGGCTAAAATAGGTTTCGATACCAGGCGAACATATTAAATCTCTCCTATTGCAGAGTCAGATTCTGGGGGGATGCTTAACCTCTACCAGGCACCGCGGATTGCTGGAAAAACAGTAGAAATTGGCCGAAATAAAGGGATAGTATACCAGAGAAGATCCCAGGCCATAGAAGATAAAATTTGCGACCCACGGACCTTTATATTCGTCAATTTCTACTATTTTATTCCAGCAATCCAGGGTGCCTGGTAGAGGCTAGGGATGCTCACATTGCTGGTGACTGAGTAACCCTCCCAGTGGAGAAGTGTGCCATTCTGGAAGTCTGGCAACACCATCAGGGGGTCGCAACCTTTGAACTTCTGTCTACAGGTAGCAGCCTGGGAGGAACTGGCCGCCATTCAAGGTAAGATCACACATCTCTGCTTTTCTCTGTCAAGTTTAGGATGACGCGTGACGTGGTTAAGATTTTGAGTCCTTAGATACATCGTACTTGTTACAAATGGACGGATAAATATGTCAAGATTATTGTTCTTGCCCATTCAGAACTTGAACAATTTTCTTAGCAAGAAGTAGCAAATACTAAGGAAGGTAGCTGGAATGTTACTGAAATGTCAGCTTGTAAAATTTCTTTTTTAGTATAGCTAATAATCCAGTATTCCTTTCGTTATACTCTAACAAACCATGAAACACTAAAGCATCTTTTTAGTGGATGAAATTCAGTCATATGTTGCAAAAATGCCCAAATGACGCTCAAATATATACATACGGTTTACTGTATTTACTGATGGACTTTGAAAACAAGATGAATTGTCAATTTTACTTTATGGAAAACTACTATCTTCATGGATTACTGAATGTTGTTGGAACAAGTTTCACGAAGTGTCAAAATTTACAGAATGTGTCTGGAGTCATCATAATGAAACATTCTTTTTCTATACATCAATACACAGCGCACCTGTTGTAGTCTTATGCTGGAGAACTTTTGTTCATGGTTTGTTATTATCTTTGCATCTTTTTTCCCCATGTAGTTTTTTGCATTTTGTTGCTACCCAGTAGTCATCAGATAGCACATAGCAATCAGAAAATAGCACATAATTTAGAAAGAAGGCTACTACTAAACTTAAAAGGAGGCTATGCGTTTTAGCAGGCTGTATGTACAGCAAATTAAAGCATTTTGTGAAGTAATTGCTTCAAGAAATCTTACTACATTTGTACTTTGCTATCTAATGAAAGAACAATGCATAACAAATGTCTGCTTCAGTGGTTTTACTTCATGTAGTCATGGAGGTAAAAAAATCACATGTGATCATGATGTGGTAAAGACCGGAAAATTTGTACACTGATGACTCTAGTGACTGAATGTGGACGGTGGAGTAAACAAACATTTTCCAAAGAACTGCAAAATATAATTGGTAACAAATGACATTCTTTCACTTGTTTCTTTTCAAGATAGTTTCATGTTGAATACTAGTAACTGAAATTACATGAATACATATTCTTGTCGAGAATAGAAAAGAATATAGAATAGACCCTGTGAATAGAAGTTGTGTTAGCATTTCTATAATATATAATTCATTTATAATGCAGATTTTTGATAGATGTGTAGAAATATTTCATCACTGTAATGTCTAGCATCTCAAAATTTCTACAAAACATTATGAATTAAACATTTTGCATTTATTTCATTCCATTCATACCGTAACACATAGACAGTGCTGTGACCCTTCTATATATTTTCATTAAGTCGTAAAAACAGATACGTTGTACCGGTTTCTTTAGATTGGTTGAGATAAATTTCTTGAAATGGTGCTCACGAAATGGAGGGAGTGCCGTGAATTAAAAGCAAATTCAATGTGGATGGCGCTTCCTTAAATAGCAATTCCTTGTAATTTGTTACAATTAACAACAGGCTTGTCTGAAGCTGAATGCTCAGTATTTGAAACACCTGGCGGAAGCCTGACATGAGCAGGACAAAGGCCCTTTGTGTTGATTCACTGGTAATTAGTCGTTGTTTTAAGCCCTGATTCACAGATCTTTCAACTGGCCTTTTGCAGGGCTTGTCAACCATAATTGTTTGATCGTACTGCACAAATTCACCTGAAACGGTACCAGATCAAAGAGTTCTGTGCTAATACAGCATCAGGTTGAAATCATGGGAGAAAATTTTCCAATATAACTATACCAGTTGTATGTACAGGTGCTGTATAGTTTTAAAGTTTGACTTTTGTGAAGAAATATGTCTAAACATGACTGTTAGGTTAATTGTATACAATTTACATTGGATTCAGATAAAACAGAAAGATGGCTAGTAAATGTGGCCCCAAGTAGGCAAGTGCTGCTAGCTATCGCGATATCAACACTTCTGAATTATCTACCTTCTTTTGTCTTAATTTTTAAATTAAAAAGTTTCTCTAGAATGTTGATTTTATGTGTTTATCTCCAAGCAGAGGTTAGGTTTGGCTTGATGTTTTACGCCCATTTTCTAAATCATTCTAGTGATCATAGATGGGAGGCCAACTAGATAAAAACTGGGACCACCAAAAGGATATAGAAATAAAAAAATTCTGCCCTAAAATGGTTCAAAATCATGCATGAAACACTAAGCAGAACTACACATGGGGGCCTGCATGCCCTTTTTCGTAAGGCATAATCAAGCCTTTTTATTCCTTCGTAATCCGTAGACAGCCTCCCAAAAAAATCAACGTAATTCTTGATAGCACATTATCCGAAAAGTGTAAACTTGTAATCAGCTCTGAGAATTTAACGTACTTCGTAATCGGCGCAAAAGTTTTACGTACATGTAATTCTTAACCCCCCCTCCATGCAGGCCCTCACACATCTGCTTGAAGATTAACCACACACTGCCTCCCAGTTTACAAAGTATGTGTCCCACGATCTTGGCGAACAAATCTGGTCGTCTGCCACATCCTGGCTTCCTTCTTCATCGTGCACTTGATGGCCCAGGAAGCGGGGTCATGTGCGTGCCATATTGCCGGGGCATTAGAGGTGGTCCCAGACATTTTTAGCTCACCTGATGACAACTAATGCACGCTTCCCCAGTTTCTGACTGAGAACACATCAGCCTTGGGGGTCTGCACAACTATTTTCCACCATTTCTTCTTCCCAAACATTTTCATAATGACACAAGTATGAAAACTGCAGCAAAAAGGGTTTAAAACTTTAAGTTTTTCGTGTTTTTGTTGCCAAAGGTTTTGTTCGTCAGGGCTATGGGACACAGCACATTACCCCTTGGGTCAGGAAAGGAATTCATGTATTTATTTACAAATTCTTATTTTTTAAAGACAGAGTTGAGGTATGACCCCCAGGTGTCTGCACCAGAGTTTTGCAAGGAAAAGAACAAAAGATTGAAACGGTCTTAGGAACACAACAAGGAATGGACGATCGGCAAGTTTCAGAAGCTGCTTTAGAAGAAGTCAGACCGAGTGTTATTCTAGTTCTTTGTGGTCTGATTACGGTTCACCATCACATTTAGAAGAAACACCTTATTTTCTACAGACAGCTTGCTGGTATTTGTTGACAAAACTGCATAGACATTTCATGCATTCCTATATTATCTGAATTTAAAATGATTTTTTTTCTCAAGTGTAATTAATGAAAGAATAATGGTGATAAAGAAGAACTTTTTCTCACAAGTTCCATTTTCATTTCCTTTTAGGTATCAAGACATTCTTGCTAAGTTTAAAGATGGGGACTACAGAATACAGTGCAAGGAATTTTCCGTCACTCAAGTAGAATCCAAGGTTAAACAAAGTTTTCCCTCTAATCCAGGATTAGGAAGCCACCACATCCCTCCACGGGGGTGTCAAGGCTCTTTCATTTTACACTCTTTTCTACTGATGTCATGTACACTGTAGGGGCAAGTGCTTCATATGAGCTTCCTATGGTGAGCGAGCTACAAGTGCTAACAGTTCTTCTTTTTCTTTTGCAAACGTTTTGGTCGATATAGAGAATGGAAGCTGTGCGAGTGTAATAGGCCAGTCCTTGATCCCCTGTATCCCCTGTTCCGGTAGGATGGTAGGTCCCCTTGCCAGGTGCCTGTCTACCCTGGATAAACCCGCCTGTCAATCTGAGTGGGCGGGCAGTCTGGCTAGACCTCAAAACGGCCTCAACATTGAAATTCAACATTTGAAAATATCAGCTTTTTTTTGGTAGAACCCCAAATGGTGTGAGAGCATGAGACATTTTTCTGTGAAATCTTAGAAAAGCATCTCTACAGCATGAATCTTTTTCAGTCACCCAAGGTAGCCATGTTTCCTTGTCAGATGAGCTGCCCATAGCCCTCCTGTCATCAGTGATTATTTGAGCCACAGACACGTTGGTAAACACATGGCCGTCTCTGCTCCGGGATAATTAGCTCTCATCCGGACGGACGAACAGATTTCAATAGAAGTGTCTAAAATTAGAAACAAGTTTCTGAGATTTCTGTTTCCACTCTAAAGAATCGACACGAGAAGATGGACCAAGTTCTGAACATCCAAGACTGTAGGACTGCATACCTGTAAAAATTTTTAGGTAGAAAACTAGAATTGTACCTATAGCATACTGTACCTGACCAAGCTAAAACGTTACTTGGTAGTTGATATACTCAAAGGCAATTCAAACTCTACTACTGGATAAAACAGAAATAAAGAAATAAATTGCAGAGATTACTTAGGATGTAGTTACTAGATAAAATTTTATAGACTAACGATGTTTAAGAGTTAGTCTAAAATGTTCACAATTTGGCATTTGAAAATAAGGAAAACTTTGTTGTAATACTCATTCTTTGAGAATGACATATGTAGATTTTCGTTAGACAAAGATAACAATTGACCACTTTGATTCGTCAAAGATGACAATTTACCCCTAAAAAGAAGACAGTTGGCCAAGCTTGCATACATTGTAGGTCTAGCCTCCATAGCATGCCAAAAACCGGAGGTTTTGGGGGTCTTTGGGATCTTTTATGTGCTATTTTCTGATTACATATAGACAACATAGCCGGCCTGGCTGATCAGAAAAGAACCGAAGACCACCAAACCCCCAGTTCTATAAGCCTGCTATGGAGGCTAGCATAGATCCGGGTTCTGTACCTTTACCTGTTAGGTTCAATGAGCACTACAGAAGACTACAACTTGGTCTAAGACTTCACAATGTATCCTCGTCATGCCTGAAGAATGTAGCCGGAACCTTGGTCCATGTCTTTATTAGAGGGTGCACATGATGCATTGCTTGGACTACATTAGAGTAATTGCATTTGTCAGTCTTGGTGTTGTCATAAGTCATCCCGGGTCAACCGCATTGCAGAAGATCTAATTGGGCGAGAGAGTCTGCAGGAAGCTGTCATTTTATTGTTACGGAGTGGGGGTATCCTTCAGGGTTTTAATTGTACCTTTCTGTGGCTGCAAGACAGTGTCAAAGTGGCATTGCCGTATCCAATATGCCAACCGTTTGGCTGGCGAAAAAAAGATACATGTAGTACATTAAGGAAGCCCGATTAAAGTGCCTACAAACACTCAAAAAAATAATCCAAAGCATCCTTTTTTATCCATCTTCAGTAAGGGAGAAAACTAGAGTTGCAAGACTTTGGCAATAACTTTGCAAACTGATCAAGATTTATTTTCTAAAAGATGTGCCAGATTAGACAGATATGTAAGCAACAAAAAGTGGAAAAACAGACTCTTGGCTCATCAGTTATTTCCTCTAATACATCTTTAAGTGTAAAATCATCAAATTTTGTCATCACATTCACAAAAAGTTGTTTTTTTTTTTTCATCAGGAACAGCAGCTTTCTTTCTTTTAAGTTTTAGAATTTTCTGTCTTAACCTTGAGATCAAAATTCTTTCAAGTTTTTATGGACAGGAAGAAGAGATGTTGTCATCACAGTCGCTTGCCCTCCAGTCAATAATAACAGTGTTGTCAAGTGCGGAATCAAAAAGTTAAACATAGCAGAGTCCTAAAAAGTCAAAGAAGTTTTACGTCTTTAACTGAGGCAGAGAGAATCTAAACCCCACAAAAATTGATCGATGGGCCCAGAAAAACATACATAAATTTGTTTGGCCTTTAAAAGTTGTCAGATGTAAAGGCTTAACCAAGCAGAGGATGGAACTTGAGTACACATCTGTGCTCATACTGGTTTGTCTGCATTTGCTGCTATAGTCAGAATTGTCTATTTGCTCTTAGGGGTGGGGTGTAACATATCAAATGTCGCCCCCTCTTGCAGAGCAAATATCATTTCTAGTGCAAACACATTTCTTAATCAGCTCATATTTTCAGTTTACAGGGCCGTACCACTCGGGTTTACAGCAGCGGGGGAGGGCAGGGTGGGGAAGATGAATGTGTTCGGGGGCTAGTCGAGGTTGACAGGTTATCGCGACAGGTGACGTTGTCAAAACATTTCTTGGGAGAAAAGTTTGCAAGAATTTGCCGCACAGCACTGGTTTAGAGTGCGTTCCACCGCAAGGAGACTGTTTTTGTATTTGGAGATGGTCGTGACATATGAGCCAAACACACCCAGTGTGTGTTTAACAAATATAAAGGGACATTCCTTTGCATCTGTTTGATGGCAACTCAAACATGTAACATTAGTCAATATTTGCGTAAAATCTGGGTTGAATGTGTGTTTGCTCCAGATGGGGTTTGTCGAGGGCTGGGGTCACCGTCCTGATAATCCCCAGGATTATCGTAGATATCACTCCAGCAGGATGCAAAAGAATTTGCAGGTGGTAAATCTAAGACGAAGAGCAGTGGCCGTGGCTTAGAATATTGGTGACATTTCAGATATGTCCGGGGTAAAGGCTGACTGGGTGAGAAATGTGGGTGTGTTGGGTATGATTTATGCTCTGGCATCCCCACTCCAAGCCATAAACATGATTTGTATGGGACGAATATTCAGTTTTCAGAGGAAGTCATGCAGAAATTACGGACTACACCTTGGTATGACTCATAAGTGGTTATTCATACGTGCGTCTAAAAGGAAGCTCTTGTGTTGTTTTGTCCACAGAGATGACAGGGCTTTACAAGAGCACTGGCGTGATTGGAAGACAACAGGACGGTCGGAAAAAGGAAAAGAAGGGGGAAGCGAACATCTTACGCAGACAACAATGGCAATGACTCACTACAGACATTTGGCAACACAACATGACGTTAAGAAAACATTAGCTGCTACACTGTCTTGAAAAGAAAACTTAAGGATGTGCTGTTGTTTTTTTTCAAGAAAGTTCTTTTTCTGAAGATTATGACTCGTACTCTTATCTATATGACATCCCAGCTTAGTTAGGCTGAGATATTTCCCCGACGCATCATGTTTTTATTCCCATGGACATTCCACGTGTTCACCTCAAAGCTCATACTGCGTTCTATGTTCAAGGGAAATCATCTGGCATAATTCAGCCCCAGGCCGTGTTGTATTATCAGTGACCCATATGCAAGTCAAGGTAATAGGGTTGTATGAACTGACGCTCCCATAAGTGTCCATGATCACTGCTGTAAGCTCTTTTGACCTCCTCATGCCCGATTGTTTTCGTTTCATAAATTGTCGTGCTGTCCCTGTAGGTAGAACAAACAAACACTCCCCAGGGATCCATTGTTCTGTGCTTACAAAACAGGACAATCCTTTGCTTATGTAATAACCTGTGCATATTTGTTATATATACAGGAGATAACGCGTTTCCTGTCCATTGTGTTCGTGCACATGAATATGAAAATTTATCCGCCTTTGTCACGAAAACAAAGCAGGGGATGTAGATTTTTGTGTTGCTTCAACAAGTACATCTGTTGCTAATGCAGAATAATCCTCAGCTTTTGTAGTTTACTTTCAGCAAAATTTCTCATGGACGTTTGTTATGGCAAGAAGTTGTAGAATGTCCTTGGTTACAGCAAGTCTTTGGTTTTCTGTTGACGAATATCTGCTGATGTGGACCCATGTCTGGAACTAACTTTTCAGTTAGTCATTGTGGAAAAATTTATATTTCTAATTTATGTCATAACATCACGCTTCTTTTGATGCTGCATTCAGAAAAGATCAATCAATAAAGATTTTAATTTACTATACCTGTAGTGTCCGTGGATGCTTATTGCTGTCTTTGTTGTGCTTTTATATATAAAGATGTATTTTAATGAAAATGTTCCGCATTCTTATGAAGTGACAATATTGAAAATTAAGATTTTCTTTATCTCTTATAATTGCTATATACTGTATATATACATATAATATGATGCACAATGATGGTATGATTTAAAAGACAAAGCCACAAAATGTAAAAAAATCATACTTTGTCTATGAAATATGAAATAGACAAAGTATGATTCTTTTTTTTAACGTTTTGTGGCTTTGCTGTCTATTAAATCATACTATCACTGTGCATCATATTCTAATTCTTAAATCAAGGCTCACATAAATCCAATATTGGTTGCTCAATAGTCGCTTAGTAATCTCCGAAATCTGCAGTGGAAAGGAGAAGTTAGAAATACTACAGGGATACAGATACATGGCAGTAGAATGCTGGTCACAGATATTATTGGTTAGATGACTTTTGACCACTGAGCTACATCGTAAGACAGAATATGTAGTGTAAACATATGGATAAGGCAAAATCGTCTTGTCACACTTGCCAAGATATAGTGGTATTTCTTAAAAACAGCTCTTAGCGACGATGACATCCTGATAGCACAGTTTGTGTGTTTTCTGAATCAGTGTGTATTTGATTCGTGTTTATATCAGATTCTGTGATTGTGTTGTTGTTGTTCGGACTCACATCCTGTCCTAACATATACATGCATGTATACAATCTCCCAGAGTAGCAAGTGTAGTCCAGTGATCTGAAAGAGGCCTTACCTCGGAACCAAGAGTGATCGCGGTTGTTGTCATTTACTTGCTACTGGAAAGTGGAAAGGGTCACAGTCCTTAGGCCACACAAATTTAATTTGTTGGTTCTCGGATTTTTTCAGAAAAAATATGAAGTGACAGGGTAAAAAAAAATTAAAAACAGGTCTAAGCATCCTATTATAGCCTCAAATGCTTCGATAGGCAATGGCATCGTGAAGTCAACACAAAAGGCTGGGTTAAAATCTAAACATTCAAGGAATTATGAACTTCTTATCAAACCACTGCATTGATAGATGGAAAAACTGTACCAACTAGGAAGAATTTAGGACTTTTCTCAACTGTTAGGGGCAAAATATGAGCCTTTTTGAGTTGATTCAGAAGAATCTTTTTTTTTACAAATCAGAAAAAAAAATGAGGCGAATCCGAGAACCAACAAATTTAATTGGTGTGGCCTTAGGACGGGATGCTATGTCATCTTCCACTGTTGATTTGTACTTGTCCAAAAGAACTAGTAGGTGAATGTTCCCAATACAGGGAACCTACATACACTGTACACAGCATCTGTCTTCTCTGTCACGACCAGTGGAAGATTGGCTCAACTGTTTATCGGGCATACGGAAGCTTGATGTGCGTTCTAGTCACACAGGAACAATGGATTGGTACTTGCATCAAGTTTTTCCAATTAAAAGTAAAGTAAAATTTTTGACAACTTACAACATTGCAGCATTAAGACAGGTTTGCTTGTCTGTAGGCAAGTACGTATTTCAAACTCCGGTCTTGCATGTGACGTCATCTCAGACCAAAGCAGGGGTGTTTTTGTTTATGTATGCTGGTCCTGATTCTGAGACTTAACGAGCCCAGTCCACCTCAAGTTCAACACTGTAAGCAAAACCACTGAACTTTTCCCAGCTGTAACAATAAATTCTCTATGACAAGTTGAGTTGCAACACATAAATATAACAGGGCCATGGTAGAAAACATACACCGTCCTGTTTGATAAAGAAACACCACATGGGCATCAAACATGTTACAGAAGAGGAGATTTGGTCTTCACAGGTACAGATGTGAATGTTGAGAGAAAAGTTAGCAGAACATTACATGTACATGTATAAGCATGGTTTTGTAGTGCTGTAAATCTGCCATTGATGATTACAAGGTGGATTGCCTCATTTGAAACGATACTATTAGAGCTAAAAATGCTTATTTGCTATTTCAAATGAAAAATTTAAAAAATTGCAGAATCAAAATGAACATCTTGAAATTTTGGGTATTTCAATGGCAGTTTGGGTATTTCAAGGACATGTCTTTGAGTATTTTATAAGAATTTTTTTAAAAATTGCAGGTGAAATTTGTGACAACACCAGTAACAAAATTCATTGTATTTCCAGCCCTGCTGTAAAGACTGCTCCTTTAATACCCTAGATTTGGGACAAACAAACATTTCAATTTGCAAGGATGGCAGCCACTTTGTGCACCGGAATGACGTCCTTGTTTCACATACTAGTATTACACGATTGTAATAGATTTGGTCCTTCTATAAATGTTGACTTAAAAAGTAACTGGAACCTAAGCAAATAAGTGTCAATATATTCATATGACCCTTTTTGATAACCCATACAAAAGGAACGACCACACATGATGCTTTGTGAGCTGTATGATTTTCCTGTTGTGGTCCAAAACAGGTATATTTACTAAGTTCTTCAACCTAGGGCCACACCAATTTAATTTGTTGTTTCTCAGATTCGTCCTGTCCATTTTTTTCTGATTTGCAAAAAAAAAAAAAGAAGATTTTAGGTTCTGAATCAACTGCAAAATGCTCAATGAAAGACATATTTTGGCCCCAACGGTTGAAAAAGTCCTTTTCTTCCTAGTTTTTAAAGTTTTTCAATGTAACAATGCAACCTTGTTTCATTTAAAGTTCAAAATCTATTGTTTTAATTATAAACCAGCCTGGTATGTTGACTTCATGGCTCATATTGTAACATTTCCAGCCTGTCGCCCTGTTGCTTCATATTTTTTCTAAAAAAATCAGAGAAGCAACAAATTAAATTGGTGTGGCCTAGGATATAAAGAGCTTCATTTGGAAAATTACAACTCACTCATAAAAATGATTAACTGTATTGAAAATGATATTTCAACTGTCAATGTCGATGTGGCATTTGTCATAGATGAGGCCGTCTAAAATTTGTACTGTCCAAACTTCACTCATTTTTGCTGGCACAAGTACACTGTTCATCTGTCTACCCAGCATTGAAAAGTGTTGCTGGAGTATTGTAAGCCCAGGACTCAAGGTCATAATCATAATATGGACAAAGAAAAAGCATCATAGAGGCATCAGGTTTTGCCACTCAGACTTCAGGAAAATGTGGTTGCTAAAGGACTTGATTTGACATAATGTATGAGCGAGCAAGCAGTGTCAGAGAGACCCAGAAAACAGTAGCCCATTCTTTAGCACCCCTCTGACAGTGATTAGCTTGTCTAATTACTGAGAATTCCCAGTGGGCTGAGGCAGCCTGGAGGTTTGTGGCTAGGAAGTAGTCTTGTGTGCAGACCTATTTTAGTAGCCTCTACCAGGCTTCAGAAGGGGCTGGAAAGAGTAGCCTCTACCAGGCACTGCGGATCGCTGGAAAAATAGAAAAACCCGTGGGTCGCAATTTGGATCTTCACTCTGGCCGGATCTTCTCTGGTATACTATCCCTTGATTTTGGCCAATTTCTACTATTTTTTCAGCAATCTGTGGTGCCTGGTAGAGGCTAGGAAAGAGCAGAATTCGGCTAAATAGACAGATACATGTAACATGTCAGGGTCTGCTAGAGGAGTACAATTTTTGGAACGGCAAACTACGCCTTTGGTGTACCAACTCCCCAGGCATGTTATCTGTCTATTTTGGCCAGTTTCAGCTCTTTCCAGCCACTTCTGAAGACTGGTAAAGGCAAGGACAATAAAACGTCCTTGGTAAAGGGTACTATTTTTGCTGCAGATTTTTTCCTCTTCGAATAAAGCAAAAGAGACATTGCAGATAAATTAAATTCAAAATTACCTGCACCACATAAACCTATTTACCTGTACAACTCCTTTATGTCCATCAAATATGATGTTCCTGGCACAAGTATTTAGATTAGAGACTAGCATGTACTTCTGAGTTGCATTTATGTACTTTCGACAATTTTGAGTTGACTTTGTGCACTTTTGGCTCTTATGTACCGCTTATGACTTTGTATTAAGTTCTTTAATTTCATTTGATGTTTCCAGTCTGACTTTTTGATTTGGACTTGGCTTTATGTTTCTAGGATTTCTGTACCTTATTCTGTTTATGTCAATGTTTATGTTCTGGTGGCCTTTTAAGCCCATATGGGCTGGGCGACAAAAGTCACAAGACACGCAAATAAAAATTCATTCATTCATTCAGTACAGGTAGACATCAGAAATACCTGCACAACTTTTACCTCCATCACACTGCATACATGCAGGTGGTATTTCAAGGTCTGTGTGAACTCTTGCTCTGACTTTACCTACACACAAACAATAGAAGTGAAAACAACACCTGAGCTATCAGTCATTAAAAAAAAACCTATGACACCCGAAACCGAATATCTGAGCACAAACACACACATACAAAAAAGAGGATAGGCAATCATTGGTTTGCTTTGAAATTTGATATTTCCATTTGGATCAGCATAAATCTGTATAACAATCTTATCATATGTCAACAGGAATCTGAATTGAATGGACTGAAAGGTACAGTTTCTGTTAAGAATTGATAGCTTGAAGTATTACAGGGCGACACTTTTCTTATGGAATGTGCCATCTGAGCATCTAGCAGTACAGTAAAAATATCCTATCATCAGGTAAAATCTACCTGGAAGTTTCTACATTGGAGTGTAGGAAAATGGCTTTTGGGAAAATAATCACTATAGATATAGCCATAAATTCATTTGTTGGTTTTATATTTACGTGTATTAACTTATCATAACAAGAGGGCCTTCGTACAGTAGGCCATAATGTTAATACTTTGCCCGATCCTAAAATAACTAATTATGAAATAAATAAAGTTGTACAATAGAAAGTCTAAGTTGTAAAATAGAAAGTAGGGTATGTATTATGTAACCATACTTCAAGTTAAGAAATTTGTTGGGTTGCGTGACAAGAATTTACCTGTACTTTTTCTTTTAAAAAAATTAGAAGATACCAGATGCCATCTTGTACTATGTAACTATTATTTTCTGTGTTGAGATGTCAGTAAAATATAATCTCATTTCTGCAACCTTTTTACCAACAGTAACATCCTGTTTCTGAAGACAGTGGACACTAGTGAGAGAAGGCCATTGCCATGTAGACAGACTTCTGCATCCTGTTGCCATGGTGACAGACACCTGCATCCTGTTGCCATGGTGACAGACATCTGATCCTGTTGCCATGGTGACAGACTGCATCCCAGGGGGGGCCCAGCTGCAACCTGCAGACAACAAGATTTGAAAAGTAGCCAATCAGCAACATGAAACAAAAGACATGTTTTTGAATTCACTCTTTAATGTACCACTTATATAAGGGCTGACAAAAGGTATGCATGTTGAAGAAAATATGTCAATATTTGGAAGCCCATCTTATATCATCAGAGAGTGCCAAGATAATAGAAATTCCACCAGAAACAGTACACATTACATAGTCTCATCCTGACTACATACTAGTAGTCTGTACAGTGCATTATTTTACAACTTGCCATACATATATTTTTTATTATCATGTATCATATACATGATACAGATGACAAGGGCCCAAGAAGAAGATCATATACATGTATGACTATCATCCATTGTTGATGACAGTTTCAAGAGTAACACTATACTTAGTTATTACAACTGTAGATGATGGTCAAAAGATATCATAAACAAAATTGTTGTAATATGAAATGCAAGTCTGTCCAGTGCAGTACATCTTCAAAAAAAGGATTTATTACAAAAAATTAGGGTCATTGTTAATCGAGTTGTTTTTGTGAAACCACATGTAACAAGTACCTTGGACAAGTTTGTGGGTCCTAAAACTTTCCCCTCATTTGCATAAATATAGATTCAAGGATGAAAAGCTATCTTGGTCAGCCTACTAATCTATATGTTGGACCAATCAGCATCCATATTGATTTCGACTGATTGTTTCCTTCGACCAGAGGCAGTTTTACAAAAGAAACTGATTTCAATTTGTTTAGACTATCCTAGAAGTGAAATTTGCCGTGTTCTCCCTGGAGCAAAAATTGATGGCCAACTCCTTTCCAAAACGGGATAATTTTGGAGAGAAATTTAATTACAGAAAGAGTTTTCATTCCGTTACGAGGCTTAAAAAAGGTGTGAAAAGAGAACTGCTCCTACGTGGCTTTCCTTGCCTTCCAAAATCATGCTGTAGACTGGATATACATCACATTATGTGTTGTGTATGATACATGTGGACAACCATTAGGAGGTTCGATCACTCGCGGGGAAGCTCCAGTTCCTGACTGAAGAATTATCGGAAAACCTCTCATTTTCTCCGATGCAGTCTCACGGAAAATTTGCCGCTCCGTTCTGCAGCCAGGATTTCAACCACAATAACCTCGTTCAAACCCTCGCCGGACAGCAAATTAAAACCCACAAGATGCTCGCCCAAGGGGCATGAGGCGGTTCTGACGTACTATACGCGGCAGAAAAGCTGCGGGAAAACTCATCTGGACTGGACCCTACTTTGTTGGGTATTTTCTAATTAGCATTTGTGGTTGAAGGGTTCCATTTGGAAGTGCAAATGCTGAATCAATACGTAATTGTGGAGAAGGCTTTTATGCTTGATGCAAACGAGTGATATTGGTTTTCCAAAAATATATACCATTTCCGATGTCAAATTATGTGCCACATTATTTTCCCCATTCCAGACATGCCCCGGGAATAATTGATTTTGGGAGGTGGTTAATCCCATGGTGCGATGTCGGGGCATATGCCCGCACCATTTCCCATTCATTCTACATTGCATTCCTCCATTAAACAAGCATTTGTTGTAATGGCTTTTCATACTTTCATAACTCGGCGGTGCCCTGATGCGATTACATCTCCGGGCGCGCGCTGTCATCAGCGGTATACGCGGCGCATCGCCATCTCGTACGACTGACCCCGCCATTTGCATGTTTAGGATCTCCATCTTTCATCACCGCAAAAAGGACCAAAAATGGCGGCAATGATATCATACCAACCGAAAGGCTGAGATCGTCGTTCAGAAATAGATGGTTCCTGTTGACGGAAGATAAGCAAGAAATATGGCTTGGTCGCTTGGTGGGAATCGAACGTTGGGTGCCAGAATTTTGCTGGACAACTTTGCTGTCCTTCCCCTAAATTCTTTCTTTACATGCTTCCCACCAAAATTCTTATGAACAAGCTGAACAGTACTTTATCAAATATCATGAGTAGAAACAGGTTTAAGTAAAGATAAAATGAAAGGGAACTGACAAGAAAAGTCTTCAGGACAAACTTATATTTCTAAGTTATCACTTATTTCGACTACCACAGTATTATTCATTCACTTTGTTATCACTAACAATAACAGGGTGGACAACCATAAAAAAACAAACAGAATTTGAGAAGAGAATGCAAACTAAAGAAGTTGTTAAAGAAACAACAGCATTATTTGATATCCTAAAACATTCTCCTACCCTCCACCAAAGATCAATTGATGTTGGTGAGTGGTGAAAGTTTGCTTCCTACAGGACTGTTTGGGTACAAACACGTGGTTAATGTAGTGTATCCTGTGGAAAATTACTACACAAGCCATATCCACATGACCTGTATTCAACATGATGGTTTCACCTTTCTGACCCTACATGCTTATATTGTTATAAAATGTTTGAGGTCCCTAGACAGATGGTCCAATACTGTATTGTACAAACAGGGAAGGAAAGTTTGATCACACTAAGTAAGAAGAGTTGATTTTTTAGACACCTTGTACTGGAATGCTCAGTATACAGTATACTATTGTATTAACAATGTCAAGTTGCTTAAAAGATAAAAATGTTATCATATTACAGCAGTGTTTTTTTCATCATTGAGTAACTACATTTCATGCTGTCACAAGACACCTGGTTGTCAAGGCAATATATCTTGTAAATGACCAATCAGACCACTTTTTTCTGTTGCCAAGGTTACAAAGTTCCTAGGAACCAATCAGGAGTGCACCAGTCTCCAAAGAAGTACACTGAAACTTAGACACCTGGTTGTCATGGCAATATGTCTTGCAAGTGACCAATCAGAGCCCTATTTTACTGTTTCTAAGGCTACAAACTTTTTGGGAACCAATCAGAGGTGTCTTAGTCAGAAACAGTTGACTGAAACCATAAAACACCAGACACAACAATCTAAAAATGGTACTGAATAGAAAATTTAAGAAAATTTTTTTTCTGGTCTATTGGGGTTTGCAATGGAAGGTGTTGTAGAGCGTCACCTCCAATTCTGTAAAACAAGTTCTCTTTTCTCATCCTCTTTTAAAGTCCCAAACCGCTCTCCAAGTTCCGACTACTTCAGAAATCTCCAGGTTAACTCCCGATCAGAAAAATCATATCTTATTGATACCTGGTCAACCTCTTTCCTGAATAAGTAATGATCATTTTGTTAGAAGCTAACTAAATTATGCATCTTTTGGCCTGTAAAGTGCACATTTCTATGATGGCAGGGGGATCCAATTCTCCGCACCAGCTTCATCATAATACGCAATTTACGGGTAGATTAAAGTTGGGGTTTATCTTCATTTCGGCCGGACATGTCGGAGATTCTGGCCGGAGCGTGTGCGTGTTGACGGGGGGTGATGTTGGGGGGAGATAACCGTCATTAACTCTCAGCACATCCATCACCCTCCCCACATCTCATCCCCGCACATTTCATACACACGGCTCATAATGTATGCATAATGAGACATTTGGCGGGCAGGATATCAGATAACGGGGGTGAAATAGCCCCCATATTGCAGGAATCTCTCCGTCATCAGAGCTGTGTTGATGAGTAGCGGATGATAATAAGCAAAATGAGTTACCGGGAAAAAACTCATAATGGACAAAGTCAAATGACTTCCATTATGGGCAGTCGTCCTTGTTAATGGATAAACTGTACGGGATTCCATATCCGAGATACCGACGGGACCTTTTTTTTCTTTCTTCTGAAGGTATATCGACCTGTCATTGCCACAAAGAATGCAAGGTGCGGACTCTCATTGACTCTCATTGAAGTGACATGTCCTTTTCAGCGAGTCTGATTAAGAGTGGTATGTTATCCCAAGGTCAAAAGTGGCATTTCGTTGGGGGGGGGGGAAAGGTAGAGCCAGTCACTCGTCTATTGACAGCCTTCAAAACTGCACAATTCTTGTTTACGATGATTTAACATTTATAGAGACTCGGAGACAAAAAATTTATTCCAAGGATTTCTACATCAGCTACAGTAAACTAACACCTACAGTTTTTATATCGTGTGTGGTAAAGGAAATCTTCTTCTTCTTCTTGAGTACTCTCTAACCACCCCTACTGGGGTATCACTGAGAGGGGGGGGGGTGGGGCGACGGAC